CCGCGCGCGTCTGCCGCGCGACTCTCCGCACAGCCGTTTGGGCCCTGGGTGCTTACAGGCCCCTAGCTTCATGTCGGGCCTGTCCCCCTACAGGGGGATTTTCGACGAAAACTAAAAGATACACCAAAACTACACCAAAAAGACCAAAACATACTAAATAGTCCCCAGACCATGTTTGGCTTATTTTTCTGACTATTTTGGGGGTATTTGTGATTTGTCGTCGAAAATCCCCTTGTAGGGGGACAGGCCCGACTTAACCCTAGCTTGGCGACCACAGAGCAGCTCTCGCAGGCAGCTCCCTGGGCAGGGCGTGTACGCATTGCTTGCACGCGCGCAGGCCTCCCCTGTGGGGTCCAAGTAGACGAGGTCGAAGGATCGCGCCGCATCGCCGATGCATCGGCGATGCGGCTCATGTGCGATGTGAAGCCAGATTTCTCCACGCCGACGTCGCGGCGACATCGCAGATGCATTCACCCCCCCCCCCCCCCCCCCCCCTTCCCCCCCCCCACCCCCACCCCCCCCCCCCCCCCTCCCCCCCCCCCCCCCCCCCCCCCCCCCCCCCCCCTCTCCCCCCCCCCCCCCCCCCCACCCCCCCCACCCCCCCCCCCCCCCCCCCCCCCCCCCCCCCCCCCCCCCCCCCCCCCCCCCCACCCCCCCCCTGCATCGCGCCGCATCCTCCGACCCCATTGCTCCGACCCCATCTGCTCGGACCCGTGTTTCGGAGGCCAGGCCGCTGCAAGAACGGGAGCTGCTTCCTCACCGAGCCACAGTTTCGGGGGGTGGTAGAGGCAGGGGGCGCCCTCGAGGGCGCCGAGTTATTCGCGCTTCGCGGTTCGGCTCCGACTCCTCCTCATCCTCCTCTCCTCCCCTGGGGGGCGGCGCGAGGGCCCGAAGCTAGGCGCCCTTGTAGGGGGGGGGGGTTATCCCAAGGTGGGGTTAGTCAGGAGGGGAAAAACCACACAGACACAATGAATCGTCGATTCCCCAGAAAATACGGCAAAATATGGGAAGTGGGGGGGAAGACAAAAACCCAGAAAATATAGGAAAATATGGGGAATCATTCTATTTGTGTGTATTTATTTGTGTGTCCTGGGGCCCCTACAGTTAGGGAGCGAGCCCGCCAGCGCAGCTGGATGCTCGCACTTCCTTCTCTCAGGGGCCCTCTGGAGCGGTCTTCCTGTACCCCTGCCCCTGCCCGTCATTCCTCTTCCCCCCCATTCGTAAGCAACGTCGACCCCCAGAGGTTGGGATCCCTTCCCCGGGACCGTCTTCTCGTCACCGGCCGTTTGTTGCCGGCCCCGAGGCCCGGCGAGGGACCCCAGAGGCCGAGTTGGGCGTCGCGTCGGGGGGGGGGGGATGAATGTGGGGTCAGCGAGGGCTGCAGACACGGGGCCCTTGAGGGCCCTATATGGGGCCCTTTGGGGGCCCTTTCGGGCCCACAAGGGGGCCTTCAGGGCCCGAAAAGTGCACCTTTCTTCCCCCCTCCCAATTTTATCGGCCCCCCATAAGGCAACGCCCAGTCGAAACCGGAAGCCTCCCGTCGCGGCCTCTTCGCAGCGAGGGGAAGGATCTGCCCCCGAACGTGCCTGGCCGCACCGTGCAACTATCGCCCCCCCACCAAGCGACGCCCAGCCGAAATTGGCCAGAATCCTCGCGTCGCGGCCTCTTCGCAACGAGGGGAAGGATCTGCACCCGAACGTGCCTGGCCGCACCGTGTAACTATCGCCCCCCCACGAAGCGACGCCCAACCGAAACGGGCCAAAAAACCTTCCGTCAAGTTATGTTGCCCCCGCCGTACTCAAGGGCCGCATCCCAGAAATGATTTCCGGCGCCCAGAAAAAGTATCGAAACAGTGTATGCCCGACGCGCTGGCGATGTGTCTAAGGAGTACCAGCTTCCTGGGGTCCGACTTAAAACCCTTGAACTCTGGTATTTTCTTGGTGCTCGAGATTCTCTGGTGATCAAGGCTTCATAACCCCAGAGATCCAACGCATTGAGAACATCAAGACGGAGGTTTCTCGTAAATTTCGGTCGGGGCCCTTACTAGGCCTCGGGACCGTCAAAGAACCACTCGGGATGAAAATCCGTTGCTGGGGAACGGGTCGAGACTTCCGGGGACCGCGCAGTGACAAAAGTCACGGCATCGGATCTCCGTCGTGGCTTCTCCGGAGCATCACAGCCGTCGCGGCTTCTCCGCACCCAGACCCCCGACGTCATGATGTTTTCGCGACGCGGCCCCGAGAGGTCTGGACCCATTCCCCGGGACCGTTTTTTCGTTCTGAGTCGTTTTTTGACGGTCTCGAGGCCCGGTGAGGACCCCCGGAGGCCGAAAATTAGGAGAAGCCTACCGTCGTGACTTTTTCACAGCGCGAGGGGCTCTGGCAGCGAGGGGGAGGAGCTGCCTTCCAGAGCTGCCTGGCCGCACGGGCCCGTGCTCCGAGGCGGCCGCATGGGCAGCGGGGCGTCGGCCGCGGTGCCGGCGCGTAGCCCCGCGCCAGAGGCGCCGGGGCCCTGGAGGGGCGCCGTTTTTTTGTTCCAAAAAGCAATATATATATATATATATATATACACACATATATATATATATATGTGTTTTATATATATATATGATATTTAATATCTAATTGTATGTGTATATCATATATATATATTTATAATATATATATATACTAATATATATATATATATATATTGGGGGATTCCGACCCCATGGGGGATTCCGACCCGGGGACCCGCACGACCCGCAGAGGCACCCCCCCTTGTACATAAGTAGTGCCCCCCTCCCAGGAGCCCTCCGGGACCTGCCCCCGAGGCTCAGAGCAGCTCTGAATCCGCCCAAGATTGTTTACAGATGGCCCAAGAGCTCTCCAAGACGCACCAAGAGGATCCCAAGAGCGCTCCAAGACGGCCCAGGAGGCCCCCAAGGGTGCCCGAGAAGCTTCGGAAAAGGTCCTCGAGAAATTCGAATATTTCACAAACCAGCGGGAAACTTATATTTTTGGCCTCAGAGGCCCTCAAGACGGCCCAAGAGGCCTCCCAGAAGGTCACCAAAAGGCAAAAACAGCCAAATTCCACGGGGAAAACTTACGTTTTTAGCATATTTGCTTTTTTGTTTTTTTTTTTTTTTTTTTTTTTTTTTTTTTTTTTTTTGTTTTTTTTTTTTTTTTTTATTTTTCTTTTTTTTTTTGCTTCTTCGGTCCTAACAGCGCCCAAGACGGACCCAAAGGTCCCCAAAACGGCTGTGAGACGACCCAAGAGGCCCCCAAGAGGGCCCCAAGACGGCCCAAGAGAGCTCCAACACGATCCATGAGAGCCCCCCGACGGCCCACGACGGTCCCCAGAGGTTCCCAAAAGAGTCCCCAGGGAGCCCCAAGAGGGCCACAGAAGGCACCCTCGACAGCCCAAGAGGGCCCCAAGAGGGCCCCAAGACGGCCCAAGCGCCCAAGACGGTCCAAGAGGGCCCCGGGACGGGCCAAGAGGGCCCCAAAGAGCCCCAAAGAGCCCCAAGAGGACCCCCAAGAAGGTCCCAAGAGGCCCCTAGAGACTCCCCAAACGCTCCCAAAACGGTCCCAGGAGGCTTCCCAGTAGTCACCCGTAAGCGTATGGGAGGTCTCGCTTCGACGTCCTGCACGAGGCTCCCAGAAAAGGCTTCAAGAGGCTCCCGATTCACGATCCATCTCAGGTCTTCAGAGGCCTCACAGAAACATGCCGCGCGGCCCACAGAAGCACCCAAGACGCCCCGAACTCACGATCCAGGTCAGGGGTGTATTTATTTCCATGGGCGGGGCGGCGGGATGCGAACGTTGGCTCCGGAACCGTCGGTGGAGCTCCCTGTTGATACGATTCGTGTGAGGAGACAGTCGACAAAGGCGTGGGGGGGGGACGTGACGTTATGCGAATCCCCACACTAAGGCCGTACGTGAAACGACGTCCCTCTGGGGCACGATTCGTGTGTTGGGTGTGCCGAGATGGGCGGAGCGACGCCGTGCGAACTTTGTCCCTGGACCCGAAAGAGGAGCTCCCAGGGGGACAAGATCCGTGTGAGTGCCGTGCCGAAATTGACGGGAGGGCGCCATGTGAACCACGCCTTCATCTGGGGCCGTAGGTCTCGCTTCCATCCGCATGATCGGTACTTTTTCACCTCGAGCTCAAGCCAGTTGTGGGTCACTGCTTCAGTGGAGCTGTGACCTTCTCAAGGGATGGGGCTGTTGAGAACGCCCTTCTTGGGGCTCATTGTGGGCCTCTGCGTTTTTTTGTCGCGCTGAGGAGGCTCTTCCTCGGACCCTCTCTTTCTGTCGTTATCTTCGGGCTTTCTTGGGGCGCCTCTTGCAAAGGGGACCGAACTAGAACCAACCGGCGCGACCGGCGCGACCGGCGCGACCGGCACCGGCGCGACCAGCGCGATTGCGACCGGCGCGACCGGCGCGACCGGCGCAACCGGCGCGACCGGCACCGGCGCGACCGGCGCGACCGGCGCGACCGGCACCGGCGACTGGCGCGACCGGCGCGACCGGCGCGACCGGCGCACCCGGCGCGACCGGCGCGACCGGCGCGACCGGCACAACCGGCTCGACCGGCGCGACCGGCTCCGGCGCGACCGGCGCGACCGGCACGATCAGCACGACCGGCGCGACCGGCGCGACCGGCGCGCCCGGCGCGCCCGGTTGGGGGCCTCCGGGGGGCCTCTTGGGGCCATCTTGGGGCCTCTTGGTGCCTCCTGGGCGCTTCGGGGGGCCATCTTGGAGGGCCTGGATCCAAGAAGAGGGGAGCTTTAATGAGCGCTGCTCCCTCGGAAGGGCAAAATGAGCCCAAAACCTTAGTAAAATCAATAATATTGCCTTGACGGGAGGGGGGAGCTTGCATGAGCGCTGCCCCCTCAGAAGGGCCAAATGGAGCCAAAACCGTAGTAAAATCAATGTTTTTGGCTTCAAGGAAGAGGAGGGTACCTTATCTCCGTCCCCCCGTCGGGGCCAGAATCCTCGTGAGGGGTGTCGTTTTTTAGCCCTCCGAGGAGTCGAAAAAGACCCCCCCGGCGACCCGCGGAACACCCCCTCCAGGCCCAGGGGGAGGGGGTAGGGGGAGGGGTAAACCCCTCCCCGAAGGGGAAGAAGGGGGGTTGAGGACAGAGAGAGCTCGCTGAACCACTCACGCCCAACGGGCTGGTGGGATTTGAGGATGTCTCGAGCGAAACGCTTGTTTTTCAGAATTTGTTGAGGATGTCTCGAGCGAAACGCTTGTTTTGTGTTATAGATTGTCCTCTCCTGGGGGCCTGAATTCTGAGGATCTCTCAAGTGGATTCGTGCCCTGGTCTTGAGGATGCCTCGAGCGAGACGCTTGGTTTCACGCCTCCAGGTGGCCCAGACAGATGTCTAGCATGAGGATTTGTTGAGGATGTCTCGAACCAGAGGCTTGTTTTCACGTGTCCAGGTCGCCCAGGCGGATGTCTAACATGAGCATTTGTTGAGGATGTCTCGAGCGAGACGCTTTGTTTGCACGTGTCCAGGTTGCCCAAGCGGATGTCTAGCATGAGGATGTGCTGACAACGTCTTGAGCGAAACGCGTGTTTTCACGTGTCCAGGTCGCCCAGGCACAGCACAGCCCTCGGCACGGTACATCAATATCGATACCTTTAGCATTGCAGCCTGGCATGTTGCCTGGCACGTTCCGCGGAGCGTCCCGTGGCGAGTCCCCCTGGCACGTCGCGCGGTGCACGTCCATTGGCACGTTCCGTAGCGCGTCCCCTTGGCACGTCCCACGGTGCGTGCCCATGGCACGTCCCCTGGCACGTCGCCTGGCGCGTCCCTTGGGACGTTCCGCGGCGCGTCCTCTTGGCATGTTCCCTCTGTCGATTAGTTCTGGGGCAGCTACCATCTGCTCAGGCAGCTCGAGCTTACGATCCAGATCAGTTCGGTGAGGACTCGGATGCCAGGGAGGACTCGATCCACAACGCTATATCTATATCTATAGAGAGAGAGAGAGAGAGCACAATCGCGGCATGACGCATCGCAGTTCAGCACGGCCCAGCACAGCACAGCCGTCGGCACGGTACATCAATATCGATACACTCAACTATACACTTTGGCACGTTCCTTGGCGCGTTCCGTGGCGAGTCCACCTGGCACGTCGCGCGGCGCGTCCCATGGCACGTCCCTCGGCACGTCCATTGGCACGTTCCGTAGCGCGTCCCCTTGGCACGTCCCACGGTGCGTCCCCATGGCACGTCCCCTGGCACGTCGCCTGGCGCGTCCCTTGGGACGTTCCGCGGCGCGTCCTCTTGGCATGTTCCCTCTGTCGATTAATTCTGGGCAGCTACCATCCTGAGCAGCTCGAGCTTACGCTCCAGATCAGTTCGGTGAGGACTCGGATGCCAGGGAGGACTCGATCCACAACGCTATATAGAAAACAATCGCGGCATGGCACATCGCAGTTCAGCACGGCGTAGCACAGCACAGCCCTCGGCACAGTACATCATCATCGATACATTTAGCATTGCATGTGCCCGTCGCCCAATCAGGTGTCTTTGAAATGTTACAATGCCTTACATTTCTATATTCCTTTCCGGGTTCGTGGGTCGATCATGTTCTACTGCGCTGTCCCAGCGCGTTGGGCTGCCACGAGGCAGATCCTGCAGGACCAAGATTCAGCTGCGCGTGAGAGCGACCCTTCGCCAAATTGACCTTTGGTGCGGGCCCACCAGGGCTCCCTCAGGCACTGGCCCACGCGCTTGGATCTGGCCCCCTCCCTCCCCCGCAGCCCCCCCCCCAAGCTGCACACCAAAGGTCACCCCTACCTGCAGGGCCACGCCCTCCGTGCCACCGAGAGCTCATGGCAGCGTCTCCTTTCCCGATCCGCCCCAGGTTCTCCAGACACACATACCGCTACCCTTGCCTCGTTTGCGCCTCGTTGGGCCTCCTGGGAGGCCCTCGTCGCCACCGCTGGATTCGCCTCGGGAGTCTGGTCAGAAGGCACCCCAGGAGAGGGCCATGAAGCATCGGTATCGATACCGTCTGGTGCCTCAAATATCTTGCATGCCTCGCCCTGATGAGATTGGTAAGAGCGGTTTTCACAATCGTTGGCCACGATATGTTGGGGGGTCACGGCATTGTTGTGAGGTGTACGTTGATTTACCTCTCTCCTTCTTGTTCTATCTTCCTCCACCCCTGGAACTTGTGCGCCGATCTGATCGCAACCGTTTTGACAGACGTACTCGGCATGTTAGGTCAGGCCAGGTGCTTCATGTGCACTGCGTGCCGTTCTACCGCAGTTGTGCCACCTGTCCGATGTTCAGCACTTCGCATGTAGTGCGTCTCGGCCACTCTGTTCTTACTCTCCGACTTGCCTTGTGCCTTTCGGCAGCGCCAACAGTGAGATGTTCGCAATGCAAGCGTTTTGATGTGAATGCTCAAGTTTGAGCGTCTGGACCATAAAAAGGGATATCGCACAATGTTGTTTTCCTCCGCCACGGTTCTGTACATGGGCATTGCAGAGTGGCCAGTTCTC